GAACAAACGGTTACCATTCTTTCTTTATTCATATTCCTCCGTATAACAGTTCTGCCTTCACTGATGTTTTATTAATTTGTGAACGTGGTTACTTACTCACTTACCAAGTACTTATTTTTCCCCCTCATGAAAACACTCTGATAAAATTCCACTGACAGTGTAAGGAAATGTATCTTGTTCTGCCTGTCCATTTACATGCTAATCTCCATAAGGAAGGAACTTTGTCTTCTTCTGTGGCTTGCACAACATTACAAATATAAGAGCTTAACAAAGAATAACTACTTGAATTTAAAAGGGACAATAAAGGACATTATTTATCCAGTACCTTATTGTTGAATCTGCATAAATCAGTGAGAAAATAATGCCACCCATCAAAACCCATTACTCATTCTGCCCCCCCACCCCCACTTCCATTCTAATTTCTTTGTCCTTGTCTACTCATTCTTCTCTCCATTTCTTTCTTTGCAGCAGCTTCATCCCCATCTATTCATTCGTGATCAGTAACTAAAAGATTGGTGCTTACATTAAAATGAGTTTTTGCACGTTTCTTTCGCTGAGATAAACATCGCAGCAGAAAGAGAATGAAGGAGTTCCCACCTCCCAGGGTCATGGATGCCAACTCAGAAAGAAACACTAATTGTTTGCTGTTGAATTCTTTTTCAGAGGTTCTGCCCAAAACTTTGGGGCCTTGTAGTTTCCTTTTAATTTTAAGGAAAACTCATATTCTGCATGTGATGTAGGGTACCATAAATACCTCACTTGAGCAAGATGTGGCCTGCAAGCCAAAAACCAGCTTCTACTCCACCTTTTAGATGCCCAAGTGGATATAGGCACCTAAGTGCCAACCTATTTCACCCTGTTCCATCCCCTGAAAATCCATTAATGTATTTATTTTTTGTAGCATGCTGTCATTTTAGGCTTAAAACTAAGTCACAAAAAAGCAGCAAGGGAGAAGAGGATCCACCCACCCTTTTGTATTAACAGTTTTTCAAGGCCTCAAGCAGGGTGGAATAGGAGTACACTTAGAAGTCACACGTGCTTTATTTAGAGTGTAGGAAGCATTGCCATGCAATATTAAAAGTTACAACATATTCTGAGTAGTAGCACAGTAACATTTATTACTATCTCTAACGCAATCCCTTATGAACAGCTTGCTGACTGTCAGCCTCAACCCCTCCATAATACAACAGGCTCTGGTGCAGTGCTAGGGTTGGGACTGTCCCAGCTCCAGCGCACACAAGAGCTGGTTCAAGGTTCCTGTGTGGTGTGGGACTTGGTACTGACAATCAGCTGATTGTCAGCCCTGGTCCTGGCACCATATGGGAGCTGGTTCAAGACTCCAGTGATTGTCAGTTCCAGCACCACACCAGTGTCTTGAACTGGCTCCAGTGCAGTGCCGGGGTGGGACGGACAAGGGAGGCTTGGTACAGCAGAAGGCTCCCTGGCAGATGTCATGGCTGGGTGAGGACTGCAAATTGCTCATGTTAACTCCATGGAGCAATCCAACAATATCTAAACATGTATTACTTAATACAAGCAGGAGATAATCCTCATACACAAGTCCTTACTTTGCTACAATATGTTTTACTTTGCTCTGAGCGTGTTTTACTACTTGAACAGGTGGACGCTTGTTTGCATGTTAAGTGCAGTTAACATGTCCTAAGTGTAACGTGTGACAAGGCCCTTATTAGTCGCCTAATAGGTGGAGCAGAAAGAAAGGCCATGTTTTAAAGAGCCTGAAACCTAAATTAAGACAAGACACTAGACTTGAATGTAATGACTACATGAAGAAAAAGAGAGGATTAGGGTAAAAGTGACAGGAGCACATGGTGCCACGCAGCAGTTTGCTGCACAATTAGAACATCTCAAATCAAAGGATTTTTTCAATTATAAAACATAAACAAAAACCAAAATAGATCTTAGTAATGGCTACCAGCCCCCCCATCTAATCAGTGAAGAAACTGAAAGGCATTATCATCTAAATTAGTCTAGTTAAAAAGAAAACAAGACAAGGTAGTTAAGCTGCTTTCATTCCAGTGGGAATTAAATTTAATTAGAGTAATTTCAGATCACACTTCTGGCAGCTGTGTTTATTGCAGATTCTTCAAAGCCAAAAATTAGCATTCATTGAAGCTACCATCAAAGCTCATTTATCCACCCGTCTACATCCTGCCAGCCCTTAGCATTCTGGGCTTGTGCAATTGCATAGCACTTTATTAGAATTACAGTAAATAAGGTTTCATTTCAATATATATGTGTGATTTTGTCAAAGCTTTTAGTGAGAACTTGTCATAAAATCAAGTTAGAGCCCATCATTGGAAGTTTGAACAGATGACAGCTATCTATTACAAATAGACAGTATTTTATTATGATGGTAGACGAGTGAAAATAATATACTTTGATCCAATCTTAACAATGCAAAGGCAGGGGAGGAGAAGAGAGAATCAGATTTGAGCTGAGGTTTGTCCCTAGCAAGAACCCAGAAAAATCTCCTACTCCCTCATTAAGAAAATAAAGCATGAAATAACCTGGAAGCAAGGTTTTTTGTTGAGCTCTTCTATAGGACCAGTTCCACTGTGCAATCAAATATATCTACTGAAATATATCACAAAAAAAAACTTACTTCTCTCATATTTCATGGATGATCATAACTATAACACCACTCCAGCCTTACTAAATAATATGTCATTCCTAAAATTACTGAAATTTCATGGAACTGTAAGTAAATCATATTGTTCTTGGGTTTGTCTTTTCTTAAAGATTTATTAGGGAGATGTGTCCTGTTGTGGACTCAGCAGACTTCTGTGGCTGCTTTGCCTATGCCTGCTCTTAAGGATGCACCATTTAATGAGACGAGGCAGTATGAAGGACGTAGAATTCCTGGGCATTGCAGATCATTATTGATATGCAACAATGACATGAATAACATCAATGACTGGTGTGTGAGATAAAGTTACTATTCAGTTATGGTATGGTTATCAGAATTTCCTATATAATGGTATTGAACTAACCAATAAGGGAACTGTGGGAAGAGTCAACAGGAAAGTAACATACTAGATCCATCTACAGATACCCAGCATGCCCTTGGAAGACAGTAGGCAAGTTCTTAATTTCAGCGATTCTGTTTCTTGTCTCCATGAAGCTGTGCACTTTGTTTAGCCAAAGCCAGGAGCCTGGTGATCAAATTAATTCTAAAACTGTTTAAAAGTGCTTCTTGGGAAGTGAAATAGGGTAAAGGGCTGTGAGGAAGACAGAGAGAAGTTATCTGCAGAGGAGGTTCAAGGGAACAGGATCTTGCCAGACCCAAGGGAAGTTAAACCTTAGGGAAAACAAGAAATCCACCTAGAAGGTTCTGGCTTTAAGGTCCATTTTCTCTGAAATGCTTCTGTCTTAAACTTATATTTTGCTTGAAGAAGACTATTTGGTCACTGTATTAATCCCTGTCATTGTTCTCAGGGTCTGGGCTTATGAGTCTTGCCAAGGTAATTGCATGCAGTTCCAAGGTTCTGCAGTCCAAGCCTTGTCTGAGACAGGGAGAAATGAAGCCAAGTGATGACCACAGGAGGAGTAGGGAGGGATGCACTAATTGAGACCAACATGATCAGACATGCAGTTCGTCTGGGAACTGTAACATAACAATCTGTAGTGGGGTTGGAGCATTGTTTCACTCATGATGGTCCAAGAAATATTCAGGAAGCAAGGGTTTTGTGTGATATCTTTTATTTGACCAAATGTCTAGTTGGGAGATGTTACACAAACTTCTGAGCACAATGTGTCATTCCTCATATCTAGTCACAGTAATAGGTAGCCAGGAAGCCACTACCTAACCAGTGTTTTCAAGCTGACAATGGAATAGGAACAAAAGGAGGAAGAACCATATGGCTAGGAACTTGATGGACTTGCCTGAACAACCAGCTTGTTCAGCCTGTGCCTAAGCCAAACCCAACATATTTTGGGGGAATAAAAATAAGGAGTCATTTTCCAGAGAAGGAGGCACTGTGCTTCAGTACCTTTTTGCAAGGAAATAGAAAATAATCCATTTTGCTTCTCAGTCAGTGGAGCTCTGCTGACTTGAGCATCCTCTACTACCTGGCCCCCTGGGACAAACCTCATTCACCAGAGTTGCTGGGTAGAAAGAGAGGCCAGGCCCTTCTATCCTGCACAAACTATGCAATTTCTAGATAGAAGTGGGAACCAACAGAGACAAGAGAGAGGCCGCCTGCCCAAGTCTATAGAGACAGGAGAGAAGCAGCTCCTCAGTTCTCCATCCATTATACAAACGAGCAGCCTGCTTGCTATCCTTACCCATTAGGCCCCTTGCGTAACACCAGGGCAAGCCCAGAGTCTGAGCAATCAGAAACCTGTTGAGGGTGATATGCTCATCTGACAGTGGAACTTTACAACTGATGATAGCATAGACCAGGAATCAGCAACCCCCGGCTCACGTGCCAGAGCAAGGCACCTGAGGCCATTTTGCTTGGCATGCCACAGCCAACCTGGGCTCTGGGCAGCTGCCATCAGCCACAGAGCCAGGGCTGTTCACAGCAGGCAGCAAAGAGACTCCAAGTCCTGCTGCAAGCTGCCTGGGCTCCGTTGCAGGCAGCAGCTGCCCGGAGCCCGAGCTGGCTGTGGCAGGCAGTCGGGAGGATGCAAATAGTTGCACCAAGCTCTAGAACCCCAGCTGGCCTCTGTGGCAGAGGTGGCTGCACGCATGCCTCAGGGTGGATGGTGGGGGAGGGGCTGGGGTTGCTCTGCCTCAGGCCCCTTTCCAGCTGTGCACCCTGAGGTGCACATGCAGCCGCCACTGCCACAGAACCCAGCTGGAGCCTGGTGCAGCTGTTTGCAGCTTCCTGGCTGCCTGCCACAGCTGGCTCAGGCTCTGGGCAGTTGCAGCAGGTGGTGGGCAGACTGCAAACAGCTACACCAGGGTCTGGAGCCCTGGCACAGACTCCATGGTGGTAGCAGCTGCACATGCACCTCAGACCACATGGCAGGGAAGGGGCCAGGGCAGTGCACCCCTGGCCCTTCCCCCACCCTCCACCCAGAGGTGCATGTGCACCTACCATAAGCAAGGATCGGGCCTATGACGGCTCCTGCCTCTGGCATGCCAAGTTAAAGTGTGGGTCGAGGTTGGGGTGTTTCTGGCACTGGCCAAAAATGTTGCTGATCCCTGGCATAGAGTATTCCATCCCAAACTATTCATCCCATTAGATTCTGAGCATTAGTTTTCTTTAGCTTGAATTCATTCAGTGATATTTGGTTAAAGGAGAGCCCTTCTAAAAACACTCATCAGGCTTAGATTAGGGAAGAGCAAACTAACAAAGCCATCCTTGCAACAGTTGGGGAATTTGAAAACTTCCAGTAACTCAGTCTTGATAAGTCTGACTGAAATAGATGCAACTTCCATGACTCAGCAGTGACAGGAATAAAGCCCTTCAAAGGTGTGTGCCAAGTAAGTTTAAGTTAAAAAAAAAAAAAAAAAAAAAAAGTAAAAAAGGATATGGTGATGAAATGTAGGATAAAGCCACTTTATATGTTACTGCTGAATACCATTGTGGCAGTGTGAGTTCTTCAGGTTACAATCCTATGGACTCCAGCAGTAATATCATGGAAGGCAATGGTACCTCAAACTTTTGGCCCCAGGGGCCAGATGAGTGGTGCAGGGCCAGGTCATAGGATAGATTGGGCCCTATGTGACCTTGACTGGCCCCTGTGATTGAGCCTTGCACTGCCCCTGCATGTTGGGATCAGGCCACACAATGCCCCATGCACCAGGCCATGCTATCAGGCACATGGGGCTTCCCATGGGTCCAGACACTTAGCAGCAAGGGAGAAGCAACCACTGCCAAAGTTTTGGACCCATGGGGAAGCCTGCAGGCTGGATGACATGGCTTTGGGGGACAGATCTGGCCCACAGGCCAAAGGTTAAGCACCCTTGTTATAAAGTACTCTCTAAAAGGACAGCAGAGCCTGTGAAGGCATACTGACCTAATCATACCCTTTGCAGACTTCCCAGAGATTTGCAAGCAGACAGGAGAGGGTGGAATGTAGAGGGCACATCTGTAACTAACATCTGTCTGTGCTCTCGGCCAGAATGGAGTACAAAACAAGTTGTTTTACATAAACGCTCCAGGCTCCTGTTAAGCAAGACATGTCAATCTGTTACTTATCCACTTCTCTCCACAAAGAGAAGCTGACATGCTCGGGGAAGCTTGGGCTTGGCAGGCTTCCAGTGCCCTGGGTTCTCAATAAAGGGAGTCAACACACTATCCCCACCAATTTCTCCCACCACCAGCACACCCAACCGCCCTCCTGCCATCTTGCTGCTCTGCCCCAGGAGCAAGCCAGCCACTCCCAGGCAGTCACAAGGATGAGGGGGCCCAATTCTTACCTGCCTCTCCCACGGCGGAGTGGGCGAGCTACCGGCAGATCAAGTGGTCCCTGATCTGCAGGGGACCTTCTGTCTCCCACCTCAGTGGCAGCACCCCCCAGGCAGCACCTGCCTGCTGGCACCCACCCCAGGTGGTCCTGGGGTGCCACCACCACAGAGGGAAGCAACAGGCCCCATATGGCTCAGGGGCTGTGCAACCCAGCAGCAGCTCGTGCAGGTAGGCTCAACTGAAGAAATAAAAGCGGCCAGGAGCCCAATCTTTCCTTTTTTTTTTTTCCCCTCTCCCAGAACCTGCCTGCCTGCCTGAGCTGCACAGGGCCTGGTGCTTCCCTCCACAGCTACAGTGCCCCCCAGACAGCACCTGGATAGGAGCTGCCCAGGGGATCCCACAGCTGCAGAGGGAAGCATGAGGGTCCCCCACAGCTCAGGGACCACTCAACCCACTGGCAGCTTGCCCCCCCCACCCCCCCCGAGGCAGGTAAGGATTGGGCCCCCTCACCCTTGTATACGTGATAGGGGTTTAGTTCTCCCTTTATTGAAACGGTGGATGGAAACAGTGGGTTTTTAAAAACCCACTGATTTAAATTTAGGGAGAACTAAACCAAACCAAACCCCTGTCATGTGTACAAGCACCCAAGGACACAAATTATTTTTTAAAGTGCCTTCTAAAAAGCTGTCCTCTTGCAAAGCACTTTTCATTTCACCACTCCTGACAGCAAATTCTTGTTATCCCTGAAACTGTGTAAATGATCCAAAAAGTGCAGAGAACAGCAATTCAGGACAAGCACTGAGTCTTTACCACGGGATTATTGTAGAAGTCTGTCAAGCATGATCCCCTTTTACAAACTTGATCACTCTGCAGAACAAATCTAGCTTGTTGTGAATATTGTGCAAGATTACAGTCTACAACAGAATGGAGAATCAAGACCACAAGGACTTGGAAAGCAATAATTACTGTCTTAGTGCTTAGCCAGCCACTATATTGAATACTTAACAGGGTAACATTCCCATAATCCTAACCAGAGAGACTTAATGTTTGGTTGGTTTTGCTGTTCAAGTTAATAAGGAAGTATCTTTGGCTACTCAGAGTAGACTAGAACTCTGTGGGTAGCTTTATATATCAGTGTATCAAAATGCATTATATAGTCCCACTGAGTTGTTTTCTGTCTTCAGGAATAACTGACACATGCCGTGTCCAAGATGCACTCATCTGAATGACATTCTCCAGTTAAATGCCAGTGTACATAAGGAACCAAATAGCAGATGTTCCAAGCACCTATTTTGCTGAAGGGTCAGTGTCATCAGGTTTCTTTTGAGATCCTTTCTTCCCTCATAATGCATTTTTTAATCTATCCTGTTGCCCTCTGAAAATTGAAATAACACATACATCCTTTTGCCCAGATCAGTGGCATCTCAAAAAGCTTATAAATGATTAGTTCATGTTCTGTTGGTCATTTTCAGGTGGCATATCAAGAGAGACCCCAGTGGCAATATTTTCATTATTTCTTAGCAACTGAGACTGAGTTTGGACTTTATAGTCACGTTTTGTAGCTTCATTAACATTTGCACAAGCACCTCTTTGAGAAAACTCTGCAGGGTCCTTGAGTCCAACTGATCCATAGCCTATGCTCTGTAGCTCAAGGTGGCATTTTTCATTCAGAGAGTTCACCTCATTTTTCTCAAAGATCTCTTCACCATCTTCATCATCTTCACTTTCCTGAAAAAGCAAAATTAAACCAAAAAATCATTGGGCCAAATCACACCTTTTACTCGGTAAGTCTTCCGAATTTACAAAGAGATCTATTTGCTCTAGTGAAAAAGTTTTTCTTCTTTATAACTGTGCAAGTTCTGCAGGACAGAGCCCTAGAAGGGTGAGCAGCAGTAGTGTAATGATTGGTGGGTAACCACTAGGGAACCAGACCCAGACACCCTGAGAGGGGGATACATGGATGGCACCCACTGCTAGACCAGCTGCTACAGCCACTGCAGCTGGCCCCACCCCTATAGTCACCCCTACAGTAGTGCCACTGCTGTCTGGGATGCAGCCTCTGGCTGTTATGCCTCTAGTAAGATGAGGTCCCATATCAGCCTTTACATTGCAATTGCAAAGTCTTCTAATGCAACCTCACTGTCCTCAGAGTCTGTTCAAGATTGTTAACATTTGATGAAATAAAGTTGGTACTTAGGACTTAGCTTGAGGACAGACATTGTTGGCATGGTATAAGTACAGAATTAGACTAGTGATAAACTGAAAGAACCCAAGTCAGGCTGAGTCTGCTGGTGAGAATTTACCTGAAAAGAGCAAGCTTACTCTGAAAACTACTGAACAAACTGGAAACTCACAGTGCCATTTGCACACAGCCCTCTTTCAAACTAGAACCACACATTAAAGGGTAAGAACTGCCCCCAGCAAGTATGCCAAGTTTCTGATGAATGTGGAGGATATGAAGTCTAAAGGACCAAACAAAACTTGGATGCAAAAGCACTTTTTAATTTATTGTGGATTTAAATCCCAATTCAAATACATTCTCTAGCTCGGGCCAATCTTTACAAGTAACCTCAATAATGTATAACTGCAAAAAAATAAATATATTAGTGTCCTTATCATTTAGCTTCTACAACATTTAAATGCAAATTCCATCTGTGTGCGCATTTGTACACAGCAGTTCCCAAGAAACACTAAGACGTGCCTTTGATCAACATCAACTTAGTTAAATGGCTATAAATCCCAGGAATAAGTAACCAGTTTCTCAGTATAGCAAAGCAGGGCAGGTCATTGTGTTCCAAGTTCTGTGAGGAATTCAGTAAGAGGCTAGTTGGAGTTACAGTACATCAGTCGATTGGATCAGTCTTTCTGTACTGCAACCCAACAAAGCCTAGAGAAACATTTCAGTAGAGTTACATACCTCTTGTGACTTACAAATGTCTGGAGACAGAAAAGGAAAATATTAATTGTCACGGCGGGGTCCTATAGGAGGGCCGTGATCTCCTTAAGGCCCTCTCTCCGTGCCAATTCGGCCCAAGGGCACCCTCGATCCGGGGGGCCCCCTCTTTTCCCCCCTGCCACGTCTTCGATCTTAAGTTAAGTTGGGAGGCTGCCTTACGTCTCCTCGGCATGGTTAGCTGGGACCTCTGTCCCCGTGGTCTCCTGGACCCACCGGGGGTCTCCCTGTACTCTGGGTGCTTCTCAGGCACCCTAGCCTTATGGGCTATGCGTGGCTCCTACCAACCCCTAATACCATGCCCCAAGCCTCGCAGATGTACTGGACGTTGGTCTGTCAAAATCAATTTGCCCGCTCTCCCGGGCCTTCTCTGTTGCACTGCCCTCTCCTGAGCTCTCCGAGCCCACTTGGGGCCTTCCTTGTGATGTCGCCCCACCTTTGGGGCCTTCCCTACAATGCCGCCCCCTGTCCTGGGGCCTTCCTACAACGTCGCCCCCCTTCTCTGGGGTCTTCTCTAAAATAACCTAGCCCGCTCCGGGACTTGCTCCCGAGTCTCCGGTCCTCTAGGCCCACTGCACTGCTACCCTCTCTTATGCGGGCTCACCGCACTGCTATCCCCTTTAGCCGGGGACCACCGCAGCACCTTGCCCTGCTCCTGGGGTGCCGTACTGCTAACCCCTTTCGTCGGGGCCCACCGCAGCACCTTACCCCTGTCTGAGGTCTACCGCTGTGCTAGCCTTCAACGGACTCGCTACACCCGTCTCCGGCTTCTCAATAAGGCGCTCCCCCTCTTCGGGGCTTGCCGTGCCCATGCTGGGGCTTCTCAATAGTCCCCCCCCCTTTCTCTGGGACTCTACACGCCTGCACTGGGCTCCCCAATAATAATGCCGCCCCCTCTCTGGGGCTCGCTGTGCCCACGCTGGGCTTCCTAATAGTGCCGCCCCCTCTTTGGGGCTTGCTGTGCCCACGCTGGGCTTCTCTAAAGTGCGCTCCCCCTTCCTGGGGCTTGCCACGCCCACGCTCGGGCTTCCTAGTAGTACCCCCTCTCTGGGGCTCATCGTGCCCGCGCTGGGGCTTCTCAAAACGCCCCTCTCTGGGGCTGGGGTCTACGCACCCCGTAAGTTGCGCCCTTACTGGCGCCGGGGTCCTCACACTCCCTTGTGAGTCCCCGATGAGGCCTCCTCCAACCCCTAATAGCCTCACCCAAACCACCGGTGTAATACAAACGCTAAAGCAAACACAAGCCTCCTGGCTATAACCAAAACACAAGGCACTGGGCCATAACAACATAAGCCTCCTGGCTGCAATTCAACATCATTGCTCCAGCCTCTGGAGCTCTCGCGAGCTATACTTGCGCTCAGGGTCCTCCCTATATCCTGGCTGCGGGAGCTCCTGCCTCTCCGGCTGTTGGCAGGGAACTGCCAGCCTGGCTTCAGCCCTGGGCTTTATAGGAGCCAGGCCCTGTCCTACATCACCAGCTGACCGCTGTCAGGTGTGAGTCAATCTATCTGGAGTTGCCCTGGCAACTCACAGCTGCGCTCATTATCCCTGCTAGGGCTTTTCCCCAGCAGTTTTCCCCTCTCTAGGAGCGGGGCAGCGAGGTGCGCCGTGACATTAATATTATATTGTTAAGCATTTGGAGGAGGTTTTGGGCTGCCTACTCCCATAAGATTCCTCAACAATTACATGTGGGATAAACTCGGATTTTCATCCACTTAGCCTGAGATCACCGCTTGATATTTTTCTGCTTAGGTGAGTGATTCTCAGGGTGCCTTAAGATCTTTTCAAAGGTGCTGAAGGGTACTATGTAGGTTAGGTATGCAAACATAATTTATAAGATAAACCCTCATTCTTCAAATAGGAATCCATAGAGTTTAAAACATTCTGACCTGCTGTAGTTTTCCTGAGTTATTTACAACAGAAGAATTACTCTATTATTTTTCTGTAGTCAAAAAACCAGAATGAAAACTAAGAGCTGACATGTACTGAGGAGTGCCTCAAGTCCATCAAAGTTGAGAACCAATGACTTAGGTGTTGCCAACACAGTCCCTTGACCATAGCTCAGGTGATGGGACAAACTTTTCTTTCCCAGGCCAGTGCCAGTCTCTGAATCTGCTGGCAGGTAGTGACATTAGAATGAATTGTCAAGATTTCTGCCACCAGGAACCATATTCAAGATGATTTTTGTACTGGAGCTCAACTTCACTGACCTGGGGAGTAAGCCTTCCAAAGTCCTGCAAAAAGTGAGTTGATACAAGATACAAACACTATTTAAAACCTATCAGACTGAAAGTTTAACCAGAATAATTCCGTAGTACTGATGCCATTACAGAGCTCTTTATAGGATTGGTGAAGTACTAGTGACAGCTCGTAGTACTACTGAAGCTTCCAGGATACCCTTAAATGAGCTGATGAGAAGATTTGAGGCCCCTTTCCCTCATACATTTCCCTCATGGCATTTTGTGTCTTGTTTGCACTGTTAACAACAAAACAGAATCAAGTGCTATTATTTTGCTTTTCATTTTTTAAAAGCAAAGTGTAGATTTTATTTACCTTGCTCTGTGTCCTATAGTATTCATCTATTGCATACTGATATTTAGGTTCATTGAGTCCAAAGAGTGTGGCAAGCTTCCCACCAAGGAATTCACAAGCTGTAAAGGCATGGAGAAAAAAAATAACTAAAGCTCTAACCATTATAGTCAGGGACTTACAGAGAAGCACTTTGTGAGAGGAGAAAAATTAGTTGTATACACTGGTCACATGCTTAAACATAAAGGATCAAAAGGAGGGATCTCCAAGGGCAGCCTTCAACAGCTCAGGAAAAGCAAGTTTTCTTTCTGCAATTCTGGTCTTCTCTCCAGAAATCTCATTATTTTAATCTTTTTCCAATGAGCTGGCCTCTGTTCCTGGAAATGATGTGTACCACTTCAGTTGCTGTCTTAAACAGTTTGTTCCATACTGTGTTTCAGCTACACTTTGCATAAACCAATTGGGTCTGGAATATTTTACATGCTAATTCATTCTAACTTTGTTACCATCTCAAACAAGCCTCTTCTCCTTTCAGGATTTTTTGCCTGCTTATGAAAGTTTTCCTCACTTTACCCAAGGGAGAGAGCAAGGAAGACTTTTATAAGTCATGTTTAAGAGGCTGTTGATTTTTGAAGAAAATGAAGTCATTCGACTGCTTTCAGGTGCCACCTTCTCTGACTCAGCTGTGGCCTGCCTGGAGCAGACTAATGGAAACTGGCTGCAGTAACATCAGTCTACAGAGCCAAATTGTCCCAATGCCAGGTTTCAGCAATATCATTCTTGGCAGCATATCTTTACTCTAACCCATTTTCTTTTCTTCATACTTGAGTTTTTTGTCTCTATGCCAATTTTTGATCCACTTGAATAATTCTCCCCTTATTTGTGTCCCAATTTCCAATTTGGTTGTATTATTCTGATCTGGAACACTGTTTATTCTACAGCCCAGGTAGACTGTCAGGTATAATTTTATCCATGCCAACTAACTAATGTCATTTAGTATAGGTACTACATGTTGTGATGCCTACATTTAAAGCTGCACAACTCTTTCCATTAGGAAAAAAAAATAATTATTTAAAGCTTTGCCAGGCTTTAACTGTTCGAACTGAATATTTCCTTGTCAAGTATCTGTCTCAAGCTAAGTCTTTTTGGGCAAGCCTAACAATTTTTTGACATTTCTGGCCAAGCATATAGGGAAAATACACTGTTGAGCTTATGTTGTAAAATGCTTTTAACCAGTTATTTGACTGACAAATTCTAGTACCTTGATGATGGAACAAGGATTAAAAATTCCATGGACGAGTCACGTTGGTGTCAGCGAAAGGCCTTTTTCTGGTTTCAAAAACCTGCCCAATATTGACCAAGTTAAGGTTTTTCAGGAGTTTGAATGAATTATCAGAAAATGACAGACAAGCTCCCAAGCTTCCATCTTTACTGAGCATGCTTCCCTGCCTTGACCACACTATGCATATGTTGTCCCCTCAGAATAATTGAGCATGCTCCATGCCAGTGCTCAACAGCCCTTTCTCTATAGTTGTTCTTTCCTGCAGCTGTGGCCCTAGAACTGAGAAAAAAAGGAACCTGCATCCTGCATCTTCAATAGTTACCCTGTATCCTGTTTGTACCCTGCACTTTCAATGGTTACCTTGCTGGCGTCCAAGGGTGGAGGAGAAGGATAAAAAATCCAACAGTCAGACTAACGCAGAGGTATAAGAAAAAGAGGGGGAAAAGTTACAGACAGGAAAAGGGGGTGGGAGGGATACGTGCAAAAGGTTTTTATAATGAATACAGCATGCTTCCCTTTAGAAGCTGGAATGGGAGGGCTGGGAGCTGGGGGCGGCGGGGCAGCCATTGCAATGGCTGGGAGAATCAACCCAACAAAAAACCCTGCACTCACCAGTTGCTGCAGCAGTCAGGGCTTTGAGGGGCTTGTGGCAGAGCCCCCCATGCAGTGCGAGGTGGTGGTGGGCAACAGGGATTGCCCCCAACTCCTGGCAGGAGCCATTGAGTTCGGGCTTTTTT